TTAATCGAAGGGACTCGGCGAGTTGGTGGATTAACTCGTCGAGTAGGGGCACGATCAGGTGACGTGTTTAAATAAATGGACTCGACGAGTCGAGCATTGGACTCGCCGAGTCGGTGCTGTGGAGGAAAACCCTAATTGTTTGGGTTTGGGACCTATTTAAAGAGCCTTAGGGTCTTCAATTGCGGCTATCCTTACCCTGCAGAAACCCTAAATCATACTTGAGAGCTTAGAGAGTAAAGAAGAGCCATCATGATCATTTTGGTGTGTCATTCCTAAAGAGAAGATGAGATTCTAGCAAGAGGGACCAGAGGGGGTTGATGTACTGAGGTTATGAAGCCTGGAGATTCACTTTGAGGTAACAAATCAGACCATTTCTCCTGTTTGATGTTGATTTCATGAATCTAGGGTTTCTTAACCATTCTCCTTAGAGGTTTATGGAATGTTTGAGGTCCCAATGTGGAATAAGCCTTAGATCTGGACCATAGGAGGTCCAGAGAGTCCCTTATGTTCAGCTTTATGCAGTCACATAGAGAGTTTGAGCCTAGATTTTCATTTAGATGGCTATTTCTTCATTTATGGCTCTAATCGTGATGCATGGATGTAAATTTTGGACCTTTATGTGATTTGTGGGTGCTAGAAGGATAGATTTACAAGTTGGTGAAGCAGATCTGACCTCAGAAGGTCAGATGAGTTTGGTCATGGAGGAGACTCGTCGAGTCCATAGGAGGACTCGACAAGTTGGATCGAGTTTACCCGAGTTTCGTGATCAGTGGAGACCCGACGAGTTGGGTGGGTAACTCAGTGAGTCAAGTGAGACCTTGTCAGGAATCTGATTATTCATGTGGACTCACCGAGTCGTTGCCTGATGCGACGAGTCTGGTCAAAGTTGGATCGTTGACTTTTAGGGTTTAGTCAACCAGTGGACTATTGGGCTAGCAGAGGGGTAGAATGGTCTTTTACCCTTCTCGGAAGCATAGTACGAGACTTGTCTAGCCTTTGAGACCCACTGCTGATTTAGATTTATTTATTTATGTGATTAGGCGGTGGCTAGATCGGTATTTCGAGTTCGAGACTTTTCGAGAATTACTCGAGGTGAGTCTTCTCACTATACGTTACCTTGAGTGGTAGTTATGTGTGATTGGAGGGTCTTATGTGCTTACATTGAGTATTATGTTATATGTGATATGCTATGCATCATGTCTTTGTGATTTATGATATGCAGAGTTTATAGACCGGACCGGAGGGTCCAACGATATAGACCAGACCGAAGGGTCCAACGATACAGACCGGAATGGAGGGTCCAACAATACGGAACTGGGGGGTTTCCGTTGAGACACATCGACCGGAGGGTCATATTGTAGCCTTGAGTGGCGTATGTGTTGTATGTGGTATTTTAAGGAATTCACTAAGCTTCATGCTTACCGTGTTATGTGTTATGTGTTTCAGGTTCTTCAGAATCGCGGGAAGGCGGCGGTTCGATTGTACACACAGAAGATAAAAGAGTGATGAATACAGATCCTGGAATTTCATAATGTTCTGAAAACCTTGTTGATGATTTTTAAATAAAAAGTGTTTATATAGACTAATGTGCATTTTTATGAAATAAAAATGAATAAAATAAATTTAAAATTTTTCGGTGTTACAAGCACTGGTCTTTTTCGTCAAGAAGAAAGATGGATTGTTTTGAATGTGCATCGACTATAAAGAACTCAACAAGCTTACTGTTAAGAATCGTTACACTCTGCCTCGCATAGATGATTTGTTCGACCAACCGCAAAGAGCGAATTACTTTTCGAAGATAGATCTAAAATCCGATTATCACTAGTTACGAGTTTTAGAGGAGGATGTCCCAAAAATAGTCTTCCAAACTCGTTATGGACATTACGAGTTGTACTAATTCCATTCGGATTGACCAATGTACCTGCAATATTCATGGGCTAGATGAATAGGGTATGATATCCTTACTAGGATCCGTTCGTCATTGTATTCATAGATAACATACTTATCTACTCTCGTAGTAAGGAAGAGCATAAGAAGCATCTACGTCAGGTCTTGGAAAAGTTACGATCAGAGAAGCTCTATGCGAAGTTCTCTAAATGCGAGTTTTGGATTCAAAGAGTCGAATTCCTGGGTCACGTAGTTAGTAAAGAGGAAATTCATGTGGACCCTTCCAAAATCAAAGCCATTGAGGACAGGTCATCACCAAAGACACTTACAGAAGTTCGCCAAATTCTAGGTCTCGCTGACTACTATCGTAGGTTCATTCAAAACTTTACTCCAATTGCAAAACCTCTTACGACTTTGAATCAGAAGGGCATGACCTTTGGCTAGGAATAGAAACAAGAGAAAGCGTTCCAAACACTGAAACAAGCCTTATGCACCTCACCGATACTATCCCTCCCAGAAGGATTAGAAGACTTCGTGGTCTACTGTGATGCATCCAATCAAGGGCTCGTTTGTGTTCTAATGCACCAAGGTAAGGTCATTGCCTGTACCTCCCGCCAGCTTAAGACACTCGAAGCCAACTACACAACACACGATCTGGAGATAGGGGCAGTGGTAATTGCTCCAAAGGTCCGCAGATCATTCAGGAAACGATAGAGAAGATCGTTCAAATTCGTGAACGATTGAAAGTCTCAAGAGACTGACAGAAAAGCTACTCAGGAAAACGAAGGAAACCTTTGAAATTCCAGGTGGGAGACCGTGTTCTTTTGAAAATCTCACCCTGGAAGGGTTTGATACACTTCGGGAAGCATGGAAAACTAAAATCCAAAGTATATAGGGCCTTTCGAGATTCTCGGTAGAATCGGCCCTTTAACTTACAAACTCAACTTACCTCACGAACTTAGTAACGTACATTCTACCTTCCACGTCTCGAACTCAAAAAGTGTCTATCCGACGAGTCTCTTGTAATCTCACTCGACGAAATCGAGATCAACGAGAGCCTCAACTTCATGGAAGAACCTGTAGAGATCATGAACCGAGAGGTCAACCAGACAAAGCAAAGCCATATCCCGATAGTGAAAGTTCGCTGGGATGCCAAGCGAGGACCGGAATTCACTTGGGAGCGAGACGATCGGATGAAATTGTAATATCCTCATCTTTCCGCTGAGTTATTTTTTAACTATTTATTGCTTAAACTCTAATTTTGAGACAAAATTCCCCCTAATGGGGGGATGATGTGACAACCGGAAATTTCTATTTGTACAAACCCTACAGTCAAGCAGTTCAATAAAAAGTCAAAATCATTTTTGCTAACTTTTAGCACTTTTGGAGTCAGTTTGGGTGTTTTAATCTTGAATACATCAGAGATAACTATAGGAAGTATACTCTAGAGTTAAATGTGCAACACTTAAGTCTCAAAACTCCAAGAATTTGGAGTTTACAACCATAAATAGGAGTTTACGACCATAAACTCTAAGGTATAAATATGAAACTTAGTCATTTTTAGTCATTTTTACCATTTTCAAGCCTAGAACTCATTCTCTCTCAAGTATCATCCTAATTCTTCACTAGATCTTCAACTTGGTAAGTGATTATTTCCTTGATTAGTTGATATTCTTCAATATCTAGTGTTTGTGCATGATTTCATCCATGAAATCTCTTTATTTTGATAGATCTTCAAGTGTTACCAAGAACACCAAGAACACACACAAGTGTTCTTGAGCCTTAAACCCCCAAACAAGCTTCTATATTGTAATTACACTTACCTTAGATTGTTTCATACTTAATCCAACTAGTTTACGCCTAGAAAACATCAAGAAAACAAGATCAAAGGGTGTTTACGGCCAAGGAATCTCCTTGGTCCGTAAACCCTAATCAGGAGTGCAAATGAACCCTTATCCCTTCCAAAGCCTTGGGATCAAGTCTAGAACACTTCCAACATGAGCTAAGGACCTTAAATTTTGAATTGGTACAAAATACCATGAGTTTACGGCCGTAAACTCATGGAGAAATGGTCCTTGGGTCGTAAACCCTAGTTAGTGGTGCAATGGTGCCACCTTTCCTTCCTAAGGCCTAGACTTGATCATAGAACACTTCAGTATGACTTGTACGACCTTATAACACAACTTGGTACTTAATACCATGAGTTTATGGCTGTAATCATGGGGAAATTACCCCTTGGCCATAAACTTATGTGGTAATTACCATGGGCCATAAACTCCAATGTAAAGCCATACAACCCTTAGGTGTAACCCCTTTAGTACTTATAACACTCGAATCAAAGTGTTTTCCATGTTCTAGGGTGTCTATACTTGTTTAATGAGCTGGTTAAACACTAATTGTAATCACATATATATATATATATATATATATATATATATATATATATATATATATATATATATATATATATGTCATTATATGTTAAATAGGATCCGTGTGTGCTCAAGTCTTCACGAATATTTAGGGTCATTAAATTCACTGGGAAGTTGGGATCTCACCGATTTCATTCATTGCCTCCATGACGATAGGGTCATAATTATCAATTTCGAAGCCTAGGATTTTTCCAATCTCTGTCGTTTTTGGGGCTTCATCCATTGGTGATAGAGTTTCATGGGATCCATGTGGTTCATGTAGTAGGTTTCATTCGGGGATATAGCATCAGGGCAGTTTAGATCGAACGACATTTGATTTAGGGATATATCTGCGATCGGGGATTTGTGAAGTCTTCTACATTTATCCACGGTACCACCTGTTTCATACATGGGTTCTAGGTTGTGATCATTTAACTGGTTACACTAGAAAGGATGACCCATTAGGCATGGAAGGTTCGCCCCTAAAGGAAACGGACAAAACATCCCATAGACAGCCAATTTTCCAATCAATCCAAATGGCTTATCCTCCTTGATTATTGGGTTTGGTAAATCTCACCAGTTCGGGTGTGTAATCATTTCTCGTAATTATCATCATCATTTATTAACTCCATGTTCCCATGCTAATTATTGTTTACTAACAGTAGTTGTATTTCCTTATGCAATTGTTGGACTTCACCAAGTTCATCGCCTTCCACACATGCGTTTGGTATCGACACTTCCACCGTCGTCAGAATGACATCTACACCAACAGCCTCGTTTTTTTGCCTCTGACTCATTAGCGAAGTTGGTCTCTGATATCCCTTCCTCATTGTCATCAGTTATGTATTTGATTTCACCTTCTTCCAATACATTCTCATCCAAATTAATCGATATGTCTAGATCCTCCTCAGACTCATAGACTTCTAACATGTCAACCGGTCCAAATGGGAATGGGGACCAATCACATTCACTTTCCATCACACCCACGTTGATGATGTTTCGGTTTATTTCCACCAATACTTCATCGTTGATTCTTTTTTTTTCTATTAGGATGCAGATGTTCCCTAAGGACAAGTCCTGAATACTTGGCGGAATCTTAACTGGCTCTATCGCCTTATCGAATTCACTAGCAATTCTATAGAAATTTTCTTCATTCCAGAGGTTCACTGGGAGGCCAACAATTTTTAGCCAAGCCATTCTATCGAAAACTCCTTCCATTGTATTTCCCGCCTTGAAATCTTTGAATCATGTACCCTAGTAGTTCTTTTTTTGATAAGAATTCCTCGATATCAGAAGGGGATTAGAAGTGTATCCCCACCATTAGTCCTCCACGATACTTCATTCCATATGGATGCTTGACGCCCATTCTAAAACTAAGTGGTACTTTTCTTAGTTTCTCCAAGTTGTGTGCTTCTACGACTAAGGTTAAAGGGCTATGTAACCATTCCGCCATAATTGTTCTATTTACGAGGGTCACCGATTTTTTAATAGAGTAGGCGGGGGAGGAGGTGTGTGGTACCTTCCCGTCGCAACCTCCACGAATGATCTACCATCTTGGAATGACTGTCCAATAGTTCTTTGGATATACTATGGCGTTCTTCTAACCCCAACTTTTTGTTTGGCCACCTCTTTTCTTCCAAATTTCGCTATATTGACTGTAAGTAATGAACCCGGACATTTTATCATTTGCGTTGCCGCTTCCAACTCCTTTTCTCTACTAACCTTTTTGAATCCTACGAGTTAATCCTTTTTTGTCGCCATGTAGACATCCATTAGCTCCCCAAATTTGGTGAAAAGTCTCCTTATGATACAAACATGGTGGTTACCCCTCTGTGGTCCCATCGCTTGCCCACATTTTTTTTTGCCTCCGACGTTGTATCTCTGACCATTCTCCTTCGTTGCCCATAAGATCATCGAATATAAGGTTCTTTTTGTTTTTTCATAAAAAACCTCTTTAAACCATCGATTGTTGCGTGGCACAGCACATGCGCAACACTTTCCATCTCGGAACTGTTTGTTTTCTTAAAAGCCTTCTAACGTAAAAACCTCTATGTGTCCTCTGCACCATACATCATTGGACTTCCCTCTTTAAACCACTTCTCTCACACTTCTAAACCCAAAACAAAACAAAAAAGGAACGAACATATATTCCTATCGCATATGTCGCCCTTCTTCTTCCTTCATCCATCGATCTCGCTTGCCATCTCATCTGATATCTTGTCATCATCACAACCAATTCTTATCGTTGCCTCAACCATTCCTTCGCCGTCACCGCCTTATCAATCAATCGTCTTCCTTGTGAACCACTACCATCGACATGTAAGTTTTTTTTTTCGATTTACGATTCAAATGTTGTTGAAATTGATTTTACAGCCCTTTGAATCATCGACATGTCTTTTCTTTTTACATATTCTGAAATTGATCTAAGTTATTGCTTATTTGTTGAAATCGATCGAAGTCTGCTGAAATTGATTGATTATGCATTTTTTTGACATTTTTTTATTATGGTTAGTTTTTGTGTTTAGATTGTATTGATTCACATTTAGCTTCCTTTTTCTTCCATTTGTTCCAAAAAAGAATGAAATCATATTGACTACATTAATTTATATCAACCGCTAAAGTAAATGGCTAGTATTAATTGAGAAGTTAGCCACTGGTCATGCTTTGGTACTTTTTGGAATTGAGGAGTTTGTATTGGTAATATTACTATTAGGGATCAGAGAGTGCTGATGAATCATTTATGTTTTCTGATGAATCATTTTTCATGGCTTGAAGTTTTAGCTCAAGCATAAGGGCAGGTTCTATAACATGTATTAGATTACTTAGGGATTGAAATGGTTTTGGTGGCAAATCAATGGAAAAATTACAGACAAGGTAAAATTAAAGTAATGATAATGGGAGACTATGAAGTGGAATGGAATCTGCAATTCACATTGACATTCTTGGATGATTTTACCCTTGCTGATATCACCCCCTTCTTATTGAAAATGCTATAAGATCTTGACAATACTTACGTGATGGAATTAATTGTGGAATGGATGTTGGTTTTTTTTTACTTCAAAATGGTCATGCTTTGGACAAATTTACCTTCAAGGAAGAAGCCATTGTTTTTGTGGTGGAAGATGTTCACTTATCGCACAAAAATGAATGAATGGAGAAGACAAAAGAACAATTTATTGATGTTTTGATCTTATTATGTATTGGCTATTGTTGTTTTTATTATGTGTTAATTAGCGAATAACTTGATGTTGTTTTTTAGCTTTTGTCAAATTTTAAACTCTACTTTGAAATTTTTGGTGAAATTTTCCAATTCATATGATCATCTATGGGACGCAATCTTAAAATAAAAATTGTTTAAAACCGCAAGATTATTGTAAAATGGCCAATTCGGTGAAAAATGAAATGTGAAGTCTTTTATTGAAAAAATAGAGTTAATATTTAATCTTATTTTTTTTAAATAAAGTTATGATATTTAACGTATTTATAATTGTAGAAAAGTGGTTTTGTACTTAGCCAAAATAAGTATTAAAACTTTAGTTTTTTGCAGCAGTCTGCAGAGGTTAAAAAACAAACTGATTTTTTATTACATGATGTAGCTGTTTAATCCACTTCTTCTACCGCAGAGAGTTGTAGATATAGTTCGCAAACTTGAGACTTTTTGCTTTGAAAAAACAAAGAGCACCTAAATCTACAATTACCAACAATCAAAAAGAGTTTAATGAGTAAATCTTGTAAAAAAAATAATTTAATAGATACACATACATGGTAATGCCAGATACTGACTCTTTGTTTAACCAATGAATTTCTTGTTAGATTATTTTTGTTTGATGAAGTAAGATCTTTAGTTTTGATTAGTTAATATACATTTATGCTTATTTTTTGTGTTAATATTATTTTTAGTATTTTAACTTGAATTTTTTTATTAAAAAAAATAAAATAAAAAATGATGTACCCATCGTCTATGAGTGTGGACCATATAATTGTATGTTCCGATAGGTCCATTTAGTGTGCAAATTTAATATTTCAAAAGGGGACCATTGCCCATGATTTTTGCGTTGAAATAATCAATTCTGATTGTATTATTAACTACAATAATGGCATTTCATTATATATAAATAAAAAAATAAAATAAAATAAAAAACATTTTCATTTGGATAACTTTAGATCCCTTTCTGTATTGGGCATAAGGAATATTATAGATATGTTCCATTTCCATCAAACAATATAAATAAAATACTGAATTGCGTTAATGTCATCTGATTTAACTACTTCATGACTTTATGCGATTAAATAAAAAATCGAATAAAATCAATAATTTCAAATAAACATTCAAACTAGCATAACATTTATTGAAGAAATAATTCAAGTAAAACGTCGTTTATTGTGAGAGAAAAATATAAAAATAAATACGAAATGGTAAATTCAACAAAATCCTGTACACAAAGAACCCTACTCTATGAGGCATCGACAATGAAGATCTGTCACTTTAGCTGAACCCACAAAGAGTGCTTTCATAAATTCAATATAATATTAAAAATATAAACATTGAAATAATCAACAAAGGGTAAAATGCAGGATTCTCTTTTTTTTTTTTTTTTTTTTTTTTTTTAATTGGGTATTTCGAAGCAGAGGTAGCGTCACCTAAGAGACTCGGCAGCAGCGGCGTCGCCACCGCCTCGAGCGATGGTCTCCGTCACAGACGCCATCTTCTGCAGATTTAGCTTCACCACCGTGTCAGCAAAAAACCGAGTGTCCTCCTCCGTGTTCCCCTCCGGCACATCCACCACATACGACTCCAAAACAATCGTCTTCGACGGCAGCGATCCCTCCGCCTTAATCTCGTGCAACGTCGTCACAGCACGATAATTTCTCAGCCTATGTTCGCCGCCGATGATCGTAAACGCCATAACGTGCCTCTCATCATCCAGCAAGTCTAACCGCTCCGTACTGGTCGCCGCCGGCAATCCCGATATGACGATGACGTCACGTGTGCATCCCTCCACCATTGTAGATCCTTCTTCCATAGTGCAGCTCTTGATAAAGTGCTTGTAGATTTGCGGCTTGTCGAACCGTCGTATCACCGACCAGACGACGTCGAGCGGCGCGTGGATGTATTGCGCCAGAAGGGATGAACATTGGGCTGATGACAGATCGTAGGTGTGGAATTCGGTGATGGCACTCTTTAGCTGAAGGAAATCTTCGCTGGTCAATCCCGGTGGAACTGTGAGGTGGTGAGAGGTTTTCATGGTGGTGGTGGTGGTGGTTTACTCCGGCGATGATGGCGAAGACAGGCTGTTATCCGCCGTTGAAGTGTGGGCTTTTCAAAAACAAATAGAAACGGGCTCACCTAATAGGCTAATAACTCCTGGTTTTATATTTGAATCTTACCAACCTTTTTAAAGGAAAAAAGTTTTGAATCTTTTTCTTTTTCATGGGGCCAACTGGCCATGTAGCATGTGACGTTAACCACGGCTCGGAGCAATTCGTCCCTTGCCTTCAACAAGGGTCAGCCCTAAAAACATTCTAAAATTTAAGTTTTCAAATACAATGTAAAACAAGTGCAAAACTTCAACTTGATGTTTACTAAAACTTCACACATCGGTTATATATCGATTTAAAAGTAATAATTAATGAGGTGGAATTCACACGTGACGTTAATCATTATTAAGAACCCTTATACTCATAAAAATTGAGAAAGTATACAATTACGATTATTTAAAACCCTAATCTTCACAAGAAAATTCCATACATGGAAACATTTTTATGGACAGTGGTGCTTATGGTGATGCAAGGTTGTTGACAGAGATACATTACAAAATGCTTTTTACTTCCAAACCCACAAATCTCTTATCATCTTAACATTCATTGATGTTTTCTTAGAGCTTTATCAATATCTGATAATCAACTCATATACATCCATTGTATATGTGTTTATATTACTAATAAATATTTATTTAGCAGTCAAACTTGAGTATGAGGGAAATGAGTAGAGGGATAGAATAGTTATTCGAGTTTGAGGAGGGACCAAACCCACAACTAAACATTTTTATAAGGATATTTGATGCAAAATTGAAAGTTTACGGAAAAAGAAGAATAGGCATTTAGGTTTAAGGAGGTTCAATCCCTAAACCTTCAGATGTACATGGATCCATATAAACATGTTTTGTTGTGGTTTGGTCATTCCTTATATAGAAATATAAATTCTATATTTACTTATT